TACCTATAACCATAATTAGATAAATACTACCTATGTATTCAGTATAGTAATAATTTTTAAAAAGATAAATTATAAAAATAAGTTTTGAGTTTTGACCTTTGCAAAAACGGAATATAGATTGGTATAGTGAGGATTATATCGGTATAATATTCAGTATTCATTATTCGTACTTTCAAATTATAAACGGCTATAAKATAATATTTGAATAGTGTTGTAATAGTAATATTATGTTTCAACACACATTAAACAAACATAATATCATAGACCATGAAAACCGCATGATGGGTAAGGGTATAATACGTTTAAAAATGTTTAACTTCTTAAAATAATTTGTTGGCAAACAAAAATCATATTTTTCTGTTGTTTAGGCTCGACTGCACTGCAAGCGTGTAGATGTTACTATACGTCATAATTATWTATGGTAATTATTTTTACACAATAATTTCCACGGGGTCCCGCGTGACGGCGTGCCCACACTATTTTTGACAGTGATATTAAAGTTTGTTTGGCGGAATTAATAAGCGTAGTGGTCAACGCGGCACAGTTTTAAAACAAAAAGTTTCGTGTTCCATTTCGGTTGACTGAAGTCGTTACATAAATAATGTGTACGTGTAAGACTTCCTTGACCAATACACACGAGGTAGGTATACTATAAGCCTTTAGGTCATTTCTAAGTAGATAATCATGCCGCGAGTACAAAATTAATGTCCGGGTGCTTACCTAAAATTAATGTATAATATTATAAACATTCATTATTTATTTTATAACAATCATATAATTATCATGAAAGCTCGCTGCGCGCATCGTTTCGGCCAAAAAATACGATTGTGCTGTACGAACAAAATATTTATAACGTTATAACCACTAACAGTTAGGTTCCGTTTGCAGGTTAGRATTTATATAAACATTTTAAAATACAAAATACATACCTAAATATATTAGGTATATTTCAACATGTCGTATAAATATACCAAAGATTGCAATAAAAAAATACATATTGAATACGAAAGTTCTGAATCGTTTTTACATACCCACTTTGAAAAATTAAAAATATTACCATACATAGTACTTAGTAGATACGAGGTATCTGGGAATTACACGTTTTCGTCAAAATAATATTACCCTTGTTTGCGCCTTAGCCCTTTTCCGCCAAAACGAAAAAGGTTCCGCCAAAATATGTTTGGAAACCAATTATGTAATTTTTGAAAACCTGACCTATMCTTGTATTATAATTGATATTTCTAAGACAATATAATATTATTACTTATATTTTGATATTATAGATACCTATGTGATATGTACAATATTTAAAAACTCTAAATTATTTTGCCTGTATTCAATAAATATATTATTATCATCTTATTWTTTTTTTTTTYTTTTAATTAAGCCTCAGCAACTATGGCCATTGGCAACAATGGGTTTAACTCTAAATTATTTACAATAAGTTACTTATTAAATTCTATTAATAAGGTTAGACTTACTAATAAAGGTTATTATTTGTCTTGTATTGTCTGGGTGGTATCATCTTATTGTATTATAGTTTATAACGGCAAGAATATTTTCATATAATAAGAATATGTAATATTAGTACATTGTACATAGCTCCCAAATAATAGTTGGCGGAAAAAGGCCATGCTCGTTAGCCTAACCATTTTCAACAAATATGATTTGACCTTTAGGTAGGTATATTGAGTAATTAGGTATTGGTACCATAGTAAATCTATTTTTAATTGTTGTAACTTTTTTTTWAAATTATTTTTATTAATATTATACATTTATACTACCTATTATATTAAATATTAACAGTTTTTAGTAGCTATGCCTTTAGTATTTATTCTCAATAAAGAGAAAAAAAAAATTATACCAATTTTCAAATTCAATTCGATCGAATGATTGAAAAATAATGTTTAACATTATTATAAAATAAATGTTAACTACTAAAACCTACATTTAGTAAACTAAGTATCATATTCAAATCCTGTCCAACTGTCCAATTCAGCTACGCTTCGGCCTTTTAAATCTGATTAGTAATCGAAATTTGCCCAAAAAATAGTAACAAAATTAGACACGATTTTTAGCAACTAATTGGTATGTTTGGAAAATTAAAATAAATCTATTGTACATTTGTTAGACACTAAAATATTTTTGTTGGGCTTAGATAATTGTATAGTTATAATTTATAATAAATATATAAATAAGTGGAAAAAAGTTTCAAATCACACTACTCCCAACAAATAATATTTTTCAAATTACTACAAGTATAATTAGTATATAATTACTAAAATTTGGTTACTGTTTAATTACTAAACTTAGTTTGGTACTTATTTAGTGGACACCCGCCCCATATCTTCCCGCTACTTATATCTTTCATACAAAGTTCTAAATGTTCTAGTCAGACTAGTCATCTTACTGTATTGATAGTATATATATTAAACCAAAATTATTGATAATTATAATAATAAATAGAAAAGTATGAAAAAATTATACATAGATAGATAATAATATAAAAAGCACACTAAATCTTAAAAAGTAAACAATACGAAAACATTTTTACACTAATCACTAGAGGTCGGATTTTTATGATTTTACATATTTGTTCCTAGTCTATKCAGTTAAATGGGAGTGAGAAATCTTTACGATTCATGAAACACAGAAATCATAGGAAAAGATTTATTTTGCATAAAAAAGCATATTTTATGGGTTAGAGAATATTTGAGAATATTTTTGTAATATCGGCATATAATGAATATATTTCACGTATATCAGCACTTTGWTASGYATAATGTTCACTAAATAATTCTGTTTATAAATAATTAATTTCTGGGTTTTAATAAAAATTAATCTACAGGTATTATAACCTTATCGATTGCGATAKCACGTAKGTTATTTCCTTAGCTAAAATAAATTTAAACTGAATTTTTTATTAATATTAAAAGAATATTTTGCATATTTAAGGACACAAAACATGATATATCTGGTATTTTAAAAGAATATTAWGARAATATATTGCCTAATTTATGCGACATAAAAACATCATATTTTAAGGATTTTAAGAGAATATAAATCCGACCTCTACTAATCACTATAGTACATTATGCTGATAAAATTATGCAGGTTAACTAGTATTTTAATTTTAAATTAAATTATCAATAAAGTATACAGTACAAATAATTATGTAATTTAATTAATTTAATATTTTATTTTCATTGATTTTGTAAAGATACTATTCATAAGTCATAGAACCAAGAGTAAGTAATATGAGAATAATACCAAAGTCTATGAGTATGAATCAACAATTTGTAAAATAAAAATATTATCATTATCTCCATGGACCACTATCCAAAATTAGTTTATGCATGCCAATGAAATAACAGGATTATACAAAATAATATTTTATATGATTATTTCATATTAGTTTTTTAAAATCGAAAACACAAATACAAAAAAAACTCAGGTTAAAAATTAAATTATTTTCAATTCTATACTCAGATTGCCGAGAGACCAGGACCGTTTGGCGCACATAACTGACAGTGGTGGCAGGTGGCACATAGCTGTTACGAGTTTTAGTGGGTGGAGATTGACGAGTTTTCATCCGCCGCGCAGTCCTGGTCTCTCCGCGAACAGACTTTAATACACATAAAATAAAAACTAATAAATTTGAAAAATATTTTAATACAAAATTTATTTTAATTTTATAACAAAATAGTGTTTTCTTTTATTATACTGTTATATAAATTTTACTAAAAATAGACATTGAAAAATCCTAAACAGTAAACATACATAAATATTATAGATAATAAAAATAATTAAAATCAGAAAATTAACTTAAATGATCTGACAATAAGTGAAAGTTGATGCAGTAATAAGTTTCTAGAGGTACAGTTGTTTGGTCCATTAATTTTTCCTTGGTTTCGCCATTCGTAATATCTATTAATAAACATAAATCAGCTAATCTTGTTTATTGAAAATTAGATTATATCAAAAATTCATAAATAGATAATTGTTAAATGGCTCGACTCAATAACACAAGTAACACTCAAAATGGGGAAAAATTGGGAGAGTTGAGACAATTTATTAGAACATACAAGAAAAAGTATTTTTTTTATAAAATACAAATGAAAACAATAATAGCTAATTTACTTTTAAGAGGATAAGCTATAAGTAATATACTTTATAATCAACTGTAATATATCAGATTGTATAAAATTTACTTTAATTCCAAAAAGCAATAGTATTAAACAACAGTACAGTATCCTATTACCTTTGAAATTCACTAAAACAATCAGTGGAAACCATACAAAAAATCCACTTTAATCACATTAACTTACATAAAGAAAGTTATTTTTAATAGGTACTTATCACATTAACAATTATAACTACAAAATAATCAATATTTCTCAAATTTAAAATTCTGTTTGTTTCTCAAACCAAAAAAAATATATTTGTTATTTGTTATTTTTAAGGTATTTAAATTAATACAATAAATAAATTATTTATTATTTAATAATTTGAGCTTTGAAATACTTGAACATTCAATTGAATAAGATTATTTTAATAACCAATTATTTAATGAATAATTTTTATTCAAAATCGCTGTATATTAACATTATTATATACTGTGATAAAATCAATAACACCATTTCAAAAGAATAAACAATATTATTTTTCATAACTCTTACTTATTTATAAATACTATCTAATAGCATTCGCTTGTTTTATTTAATTATAATTATCATATTAGATTTACATTAACACATTTAAGATAGATTGTCATAATCTAAAAGTTATGTTTAAGACGAGTCATGCGTCTGGTGCGTTACAATATTTTACTCATGAAAGACGAATCATGCGTTTTGCGCGTTATGTCTAATATCAAATTTTTTTTAAATTGATATAAAATCATATACTCACACCATTGTTTTCATTTAACAATCTATCAATAGGAAATATTCTATTGATTATTTACATAAAATAATTAAATTACACGTCACAGGAATTTGATTCGTAGTGCATATTAGCTGTTAATAATTATAAAATTGCTCATCTAGAGAAGAAAAAGAAACGAATATGTTCCTTCTTGATTGTACATAGTTGTACAACGCGCCTCACACGTGATTCGTCTCCAATACGTTAAATATATTTCCCATTTCTACTGAACACGAAATTGAAATAAATAAAATAAAACTTATCTAAAATAGTGATTGATATAAATTATACAAATTATATTTTATGCTGTACAATTTGAAGATAGTACTGGTTTATTTTTAAGACTTCACTATTAATATAGTATATTTAATTCACTTCTAAAAATTATTTATAAATTAGTTGTTTTAAGTAAATAAAAAAAAATTGTTCTAATTACTGAAATAAAATCTTCAAAAAATTCATAGTACAAACTTATAGGCTTATTTACAAACCTTTGCATATTTGTTTAGGCAATATATTTTCAGCATTGCGATGAAATATACTAATAACACGTCGATTACTATTTTGTGATGTTAATTGTAATGTCCAACTGTCATATGTAAAAGCTCTGAAATAAAAATTTTCAAGTTAAAGTCATAATAATTAATAATATGATTCATTCAGACATTCATAAACCTTTTTAAACATTAATATTAAATATAATACTTTGGTATATGATGTTCAATAAAATGTGTATTGATTGATGATCGAAAAATCTGTAGTGGTAATGTTTTCACAGAAGTGATGGCTTTTATAGGAGATGCATCTCCAAGATAATAACGCAAAGCATTTGTAATGACAGGCATCATACTTTGTGTAGTTATATTTAACATGGATTCAGTGACAGCAGCTAAATCTAAAACTGTATGAATTCTACATAACCAAATCATCCATGAGTTTAATGTTGTCCACCATTCTGAATAATCAATATTGCAAAATCTAAAAGAAAGATAKCATAAATTTAAAATATACAAATATACAAAATTAATCATAACACACAATACTTACTTATTGTTCATTTCTAATTTTAAATGATCTGCTAAAGCTAACTTAGAAATTAAAAAGGCTTGGGTGTAATCATTTTTAAGTTTTTCAATTCCAATTTCAATTAATAACTGAACAGGGTCATAAAGTTTTTCTGGATTAGACGCTGTATTTCCTGGTAATGATTTTAAGATTTGAGCTAATCGTGTACCATTTGTTGATTTAATCTGTGTTTAATAACATATTATAAAAATCAACAGTTTATAATCATTTCTTATCTTTATCATACATACCAATGGTTTGAAAGTTTCATTTCTTACTGCTTTGTATAAATGTTTGAAACATTCAATTAGATCATTATATGATCTGCATTCTGAATAATATTTAAATTAAATCAAATATTAATTTTAAATCATTATATCAATTTTTAGAACTAACCTAATAAATAGGTCCAAAGTTTATCGGTAAATTCTTGTTGAATACATTCTGCAGCAATAACATCTCTGACACATTGACAAAATAACTTTTGATCATTATCTTCTTGTTCTCCAAACTTACCTCGTTTGTACAATGTAGAGGATATGCTTTGCAACATAGCAGGAAACATTTCAACAATTTTTCCATTGGCACAGCTTCTTATATCGCCCTTTCAAATAATAAAATAGTCAGTTATATATCAAAATAAAATAGTACTTATAAAATATTTACTTGAAACTGAGGAAACACAATGTTATTCCTATTTGTCAAACATTCATCTTTCAAATATGTTAATTGTTCTATTAGATCCTCTAAAAATAATAATTGGTGCCATAATGAGTGTAATGGACTAGTTTCTTGGCCTAATATACACTGAACAGTCTATAAAATAAATATTTATGAAAAATGAGTAATTAATATTTGTTATTATTGACATGACTTGCTATGTATAGAAGTACTTTGCAATTTTAGTATTGTGGCATTTCACCAATAGATGTACTGACTACTGGTACAAGGTACAAGCACGTAAAATAATATTTAACTTTTAAATTTTTTATAGCTTATTCATAATATACCTTTGATTATAAATATTAATTTAGTAATAAATTAATAATTAATAATTTACTTAAAAAAGTTCAATAATATTAACAAAAAATAAAACCAATATTTTCTTACTACAATATCTTTTMACTACAAATAGTGAAGAGTGCCTCTTGTTAAAAAAAAATGGGTAAAATAAATTTTAGAATTTATAACTCAAGGTCGTATTTAAAATATATGCATATTAGGTATGTGTATTTAATTTATTAATACTCATATATTATTTCAATATTTTAATATATCATTATTTATTATTAATCAATAGTTATTAATAATAGCTTATTATGATAAATTTATTTTTAATATTCTCAACTATTGTTTATTATTTTCCAATGCTAGTTTATATAACGTGAGAAATGTTTTAAAATCTTATTATGTATAGAAACTAGTAACCTCTTGAGGACCAATGTCTATTTTAATAGACAAATTTTATAACTGCTTTAGCGCACATGTTTAATCTAATTTTTGTATTTTTAATAATTTTTATAAACCCTTTGTCCATTTTTCTCTTATTCCCACAAAAGTCTATCCATTTTATTTGCTTATATTATACTTCCATCAAGATAATTTTAAACTGATGATAATTTGGAAGGATAAATGTGTAAAAAAATGTCCAATGAAATAGACATTGGATTTGTGGTACTGCAAAATTTAAATACGAGTTGAACCTCACGAGGTTATAGAAATTTTAAATTTAATAAAACAGAATTTTCCTTTTTAATCAGTGAACTAGAAACTTGTCCAAGACACAATTTTAATTGGCCCCATACAACAGGTTTCAATGTATACTACACTATAGATCAGGGGTAACCAAGTGAGTCTCGTGTGGCTCTTTACACCAAGCATAGAGTAAAATTAATTCATATAATATAAAAAGCACTTCTCAAAAGTAAAAAATCCCATTTCTTAATGTATACTTAAACAATAATGTTCTGTGTAGTGTAAAAAATGAATACTCCTTTACTAGTTATAAAATTAAAAATGTATTTTCATTTTATAAACATACCTACTTATCTTAATAATATGGCTCTTTTCGAAATAGCTTCTTAAATTTGTGGCTCCCAAAATTAAAGTTAGAGACCACCCCTGCTATAGGTCTATAGCTCCTAAAATTAATTCAATTAAGTAGTACCTGAAGTATGGCATGCATTTAATATTAAAACAMATGGAATGGAATATAACAAAACATAATACTTCTTACAAATAGACCATATTAATTATTTATTTACTTATATCTTACACAATATGATACTTTACACTTGTTGATTATATTATTTTGTTTATTAAAAATTATTTTATAGGTGGGAAATAACTTGAATTTTTTGAGAGGGAAGCTAAAATTATTCAATCCTTAAAGTACAGGTATTTTAGGGGATTGCAATTATACCTTAGCTAATTTTGAACATATTTTAAGTTATTGGAAATTTAAGGGACTTAGACCATATATTATTCATTATTCAACCTTTTGTAATTGACAGACAAAGTTATAAATGTATACACACTGGAAGCCGTAAAAAAAACTGTTTAACACTGAAATAATAAATATGCAGTTCATGTTTATATATTACATAATATACTTACAATAAATGATTCTGTTGACATGAGAGGAGCAAAAAGAGATGGTCGTCGCCAGCTAAGATTAAGTATAACCATGCCTGGCCCATTTTCAATAAATGTAAACTCTTCAGTGTTAGTAGCTGAAGTCAAATTTATAACTGCAGACACTTTGGACTCTAACTAGAATTAACAAACATAATTAATATTTTTTTATAATATACATGAATAATACAATATTTTAATTAAACTAAAATTTATTTACAATCATTGATGACACTTGAGGAAATTTTTTATGTGTTTCTATCATATTTTGTACAGAAAGCTCATCATGTGCCACATCATTACGTCCTTTATATTCGCCCCAGTAACGAGAATGCCATCCTTCAGATACATCACCGCCCAATAAAATTGTATTGTTTTTTAATCCATCACATAATATAAATAATGGTACACTTAAAAACTGTTCATCCTTTAATTTTAAGTATACTAATCGCCTAAAATATAAAAATCAAACAATTTAAAGTCTAACTGAATACTGATACAAGTATTAACACATTCTTAATAGAGTTGCTGGGTTAATAAGTTTAAGTTTAAAAGTATGCTAACAATTAATAATTACTGCTGAAAAATGTTATTTATTTATGATTAATTGTTCAGTTGTTTTAATCTACTTATAAAATGAACAAATAATATTTAAACAATTAGGTTTAATTAGATTCAATTACTTTACCTTGCTTGAAGCAAATTTAAAGGAAAATGACTATCTTCTGGTTTGTTTATTTCTACTTGAATTTTTTGAGCCTTTATAGGACTAAAAGGGCATTCTAATGGATTTCCAGTTAATTCTAACAACAAATAATAACAGATTAATACAACTTTAATTACCTACCAACTGCAATTTAATCTTAGGTACCAAGTTCATCATATTCTTCTTCCTCAGAACTAGAACAATTTTTAGCAATAGAATTCACAACTTTTGTGGGATGTTTTTTCTAAAAAATCAATAATTATTTATGAATTTAAAAATAAACGTACCAAGTATACACAATATTTATACTTACATAAATGTAGCCAACTATGGGTTTTTCAAAACCACTTACACAAAATGGACGGATATATGAGATAGTATTAGGATCACATTGATTCAGAACAAAATCAGGGTGTAAATTCACTTTCTCATGGCAAAATTGAAGAAAATTGTTGACATCCATCTAAACATTAATAATAACAAATTAACGAACACAGACTACCACAATAATTTATAATTCATAAAAAATTAAATGTTACCAATGTACACACATATAGACATATATATTTATATATTAAAATACAAAAAATTGTAAGTACTTACATTCAGTTTTCAAATAAGAAAAAGTTTCACTAAAAAAAATTCTTCTTCTAAATATAATATATTATGTCTGCTTCTACGTTTACAACACGTATAAAAGTATCGATGATCAATTTCTGTGATCTTAGTGTGCCTGTATCCTGAGTACTCCTCACTTCTGGCTTCTTGTCAAAACTCAGAACTCAAGAGGGATATTAGAGAACAGGATTTGTTAGTAAGTTGTTATTATATATTTATATTGCGAATTTGAATTTGTAATCAAACCAAAAACTAAACTAACAAAATAGGATAACAACATAACATCATAATTCATAAATTCATAATATAATAATCTATAACTACAAATTACGATAAATGGTATTGTTCAATGAAAATAAATTGGCGGGAAAATCGATTAGAGGTTAGTATCAGAGATTCATCTAATGATAAGTTGATAAGAACTTTTTGACAGAGAATTCTAACATTTTTATTGTTTAGTATTTTTATCCTATGTATCATCTGCACAGCTGCTGTTCACTGGATAAGAATTCGTGTCGCAAAAATACACATTTACGAACCTGGATTTAATTAATTTTAAATTTACGGTAAATACTGAATGTATTGTCAAATTATACATTTTACATTAACTATCATAAAATAGTATTCACCAAAAATTTTACAGCTTATTATTATTTACTGTTTAATAGGTACTAAAATCTATCTATTCTATCGTCCTGACCAACAGAAATTTTCATAAATATGGCTGTTAGCCATTTTGATGAAAAAAGTGGTATTGTACCATGTAATACAGAATGGGGTAGATGGTGGCAAACTGTGGATGAATTACATATTGAAATAACACTGTCACTTAATACCAAATCCAAAGATGTTAAAGTCAATGTCACTAACTCAAGTATTACTTGTCAAATTTTAGGAAAAACTTTATTTTCTGTTAGTTTGCAACTATTGATTTAGCGTCATTGTGTTATATTACTACCCATYGTTGTCCTTCAGGGCAATTTATTTAGAAAAGTACGTGCTGACGACACTGTATGGACATTAGAAGATAATGGTACTTTATTAAACATTGTATTGACAAAAGCAGATTGTTCTGATAAACAAAATTTTTGGGAAGCTATATTGGAGGATGGATCATTTAAAGCAGATCCCCTTACATGTATTGAAATGATGAAAAAAATGGATTTAGAAAAGCTTCAAATGAAGGTATGCAAACTTATAAATCACTTTAAAYAATAAAATTAAAAATTATATGCTATCTATGGTATATTTTACAAGAAATAAAAATCTAACTCTTCATAATTGTCGTTACTTAGATATACTTGTTGAATATGTTATCAGTTGAATTGTCATACAGTGTAAAACTTTAAGATATTGACCACATATTACAATTTATATTAGGTAATTTTATGTTTGAAATT